CCACAGCTGCGATGTCAGGGCAGCCGAGGAGGAACCTTGGTAGTTCTTGGTACTCGCTGATCAGCAGCAATTTTCAGTCTTTGACTCCTTTTAGGGTTGAAACCAAAGTGGGTATTGTAGCGCTGGACAGGGCGGCGGCTCGAGACGCGACGCTGACTAACGGGAGGGCGAGGATGGAACCCGGGGACAGCCACACGGATGCTCCGTCGCTGGGGGAGGTGGAGCACGACCTCGTGTCGTCCAGCAGCCAGTCGTCGCTGGCGTCGGGGTGTTCGGGGACGTGGTCGGAGTGCTTCCTGCCGCCTCCGCAGCGCGTGGTCGAATTAACGGGCGACGGTACGCTCAGGATGAAGCCTCCGGGTTCGCATTCACTCGACTCACTCGCCTCCACCGCCGGAGCTGCGGACGGCTCGGGGGAGTCGTGGACGCAGGAGGAAACGGAAAGCCGGAGCGATTTTTCCGCCAGCGACGACGACTCCTCGAACCTGAACAAGAATAACCCGACTTTCGTGAGGTCCTTCAACCGGCGGATCCGCACGCGGGACCACCATGGCGGGGACCTGAAGGTCATCTCCGCCCTGCGAGCGCAGTACAAGCAGCGGGAACGAGACGTTCAGAGGACGAGGAGCAGATTCACGACCGACAGGGACCGAGTCCTCCCAGAGCTTCCGACAGCCGTCACGGATGGGAGAGAGGAGGCGAATACGGACGAAGGGAGGAGGATCAGTCTGATGTGGAGCCCGAGCTATAGTGAAGCCTCGAGTGACACTCAGGATCTTTGCTCTCCAGTGTCCGACGACGTGTTCTGGGCGGCGTCGGGTTCGCACGTGGGCAGCCAGCCTCATCAGGAGTCAGGAATCGGCAATGGCTGCGAATGGCGGCCGTCCCCGCCTGAGCGGAGAAGGAGCTCGCTCTCCATGGAGTCCCTCTCTCGGGACGCGATATTTTCGGACTTCGATATCGAGTCGCCGATCTCCAAGGCGGTGGTGGAAGCGATGAGGCCGAAGGAGGGCGGAGGGATGTCCTTCCTGTCGCGATTCTCCAAAACAGTCTCCACGAAGAGAAAGTATGGAAAGTCCTTCAAGAGCCACGCCCTCCCAGTCGGCGAAAGGAAGATCTCCGACGTCGATGCAGCGTTCAGGGAGAGTTTGGAGAGCATCGTCGAAGGAGGCGCCGAGAAGACCCACGACAAAAGGGGCTCCTGTCAGCGCGCCTCCAGCATGGGCGCCGACGTAGGCGGGGATGGGATGGATGTGGCTTTTGCGCCCCTGGATCGCCGCGCCGTTGCAGAGGAGAAGGATAGAATCTCGGTGAGGGATCTTGTGCGTAGTTTTGTGGTCAAAGACACGGGTAATGGGCCAGTTGTTACTCAAGCGAGAGGGGAGAAGCCGAGTCCTTCCCCAAGACTAAGTAAACCCAAGAGCCCTCCTTTGCCGCAGAATAGACGGTTGCAGGAACACAGACCGAGTCCTTCTCACACCTCTGACGCATCCGTCACGCAGACTCTGCACAACGGACGCGTGTCATCGGGAAGCTCGCCGCAGGACCAGAGCCAGACACACAGCCGCTCATCGAGTGGATCTTTTTACAATATGTGGCCGCAATTTTTCTCTAGTAACACGGCCACCAAGTCACAGATGGATAAGGACAAGCCATCTTCCAGCAAGAAATCTTCCAAGCATGGAGATCCATCGGCTGGTCTTCGCCAGAGGTCCCACACGTTCACGGTCAGCAAGTCTGCATCGCCGCCAGACGGGAAGAAGAATCCTGGCGTCGCCTCCCCCGCGCAGCCAACAGCATCGGGAGGCCGCACGTCGCCGCGAAGGCTTCCCCAGATCCCCCGTCAGGAGGTGAGCAAAGCCTCGCCGCGTCTGCCTGGACGGAACTCGAACCAACACTGGCCACCTGCCGCAGTGCGCAATTCCTCGCCGCACCTCGCAGAGTTCTCCTCCCGTCCCTTGGCGGCGCAGGCGAGCGGTGTGGCTCAGAGCAACGGCGCTCTGAGTGACTGCGTGAAGACAGGCACGCCTCCGCCGAAGAGAAGTAAGTTTCTGTCAACCTTTGGCTTCGGGACGGACAGCAGCGCCAAGAAGGGCGACTCCGACAAGGCAAGGACCGGTAAGAACAGTCGGGGAAGGAACAGTGACGAGTGGAATGTCGTGTATACAAACAGTCCAGGAGGCCCTTCCTCGAGAATCAGGAGGACAGGTGCCATGAAGAAGGGCGAGGAAGCGGAGAGGGTCCAAGAGGGCCTCGGCGTGGCTTCCATTCAAGGGGATCCCGAAAAGACCCCAAACTTCCCCTCAAGAGAACATAATCCGGGCAAGAACGTAACATCGGGAGCGATTCCAAAAAGTAGCTACTTGAACAAAACCTTCCACATCATGAACAAAGACGAATGTAAAAGAAACGAAGTGAAGCATTCCGACATCGAGGACGCCGCCCCTGAGAAGGAAACCCAGCAGGGGTCGCAGGCAGCAACCAGGAGCCCCGCCAAGAGCGCGAGAAAGCTCGGCAAGCGTGTGCTGGAAAGGTCGATTTCAGTTCCCTTCTGGACGAAATTTTCCGGCCAGGAGACTGGGAATGGCCAGAGTGCAGACAGCGAGGATGACTTGCCTGTCCTCGAAGCAGGCTCCCAGAGCGAGAAGCCTCCTACGTTGGATTCCAGAGAAGAAATAACGAAGCCCAGGCTCGGCCAGACCAAGTCGTCCCCGGCGAACTTCCAGCGCAAGGCCCAGCACAAGCGCACGCGCTCCTACGACGTGAGCAAGACCTTCAAGGACGATCTCCAGGCGCTTCCGCCCGAAAGGTCGGCCTCGCACGACAACTTGGCCAAACTGAAGGAGAACGAGCCTCTGAACATGCCCGTGCTCGCCGTGGAGTTCGCGTCGCCCGAGTCGCCGCCGCAGATGGAATTCAAGAGCCTGCGGGCGGGCGACGGCGCGCCGGAGAGCCTCGCCCGCAAGAACTCCATCAAACATAGAAGCTGCAACAACATCATCGACATCGAGGACGAGCCGAGCGTGCAGGTGTCGCCCAAGTTCGCCCGAACTTTCAAGGACTCGAAGCTCATCAGCGCCTCCGCCTTCTGCCTCACCAACTCGGTGATGAAGAAGGCCTCGGCGGCCGTGAGGCGCGAGGTCATGCCCGGGTCGCTGTTCCTGCAGGGGGAGGAGGTCTTCTCAGCCCTGGACAGCTCGCCCTCCCTGCCATGCGTCGGGCCGGGGGAGGCGTCCCAGAACGTGTACATTTCGCCCTACGAGCTCACCACGCACGTCAGGGACAAGCCAACGCTGCAGCGGCTGATGGGGATGTTCCACGTGCAGACCTCGGTGAGTGCGTCGGGGGCACGGCTCGGCGGGGCTCCGGGGGGAGGGAGGCTCCTCGCTCTCAGGGGCAGACGCAGGCGCAGAGGCAGGGGAGGTGCAAGCCACTATCTGGGCAGTGCGTCGTATCGTATCTCAAAGGCAAAGGAATTAAAAATAAAACTGAGATGTTTGCATATGTTAAAAGAAGTAAAATATCTACATGTAGATGGATATGTAGGTAGGTACGTAGGTAGAGACAAGGGTACAAGGGTAGACACGTATGTATGGCTTCGTGCCGCTACTCCCAGTCGAGTCGCGTCGCCCCCCCCCCCTTCCTCATAAGTCTCTGTAGGCGATGCGTGCGTGGAGAAACGGGGGTTAGCGGGGAGGGGGGGGGGCGGTACATGTCATTTCGTTACAAAAGCGACGGCGTCACAGGCTGCCGGGCGGGGGTCGCGGCCCGTCACGGATGATAGTGAGGTAGATATTAATAGTTGATTTTGCTTTTGTCATTATCAACCTTACTGTTATTGTATATGAATTGCGCAAGGAAGTGTGCAACTAAACAGGTCGAAGTATAAAGAACAAACGAGAGTTCATAAAATCTCAGTCTCTATTTCTTCAATTTCTTAATCTTTCTCACTCTTTTCCTCTTTTTTCCCTCTCTGTCTCCCTATCACTCCGTCTATCTGTCTCAACATTCTATGTCTATCGTCTCTCTCTCTCTCTCTCTCTCTCTCTCTCTCTCTCTCTCTCTCTCTCTCTCTCTCTCTCTCTCTCTCTCTCTCTCTCTTCTCCCCTTCCCTCTTTCCCTATCCCTCTCCCCCCCTCTCCCCCTTCCCCCTCCCCCCCTCTCTCCTCTCCCCCCTCTCTCCTCTCCTTCTCCTCTCCCCTCCTCTTCCCCGCCTTTATCCCCCTCGCCCCTCTCCGTGTTCCACTGCCCCGAGCGTGCGGGCGTGTGTCTCCGTCCCGCTGTGGTATGACGCGGAACAGCATTGGGCCGCCTTGTGTCTGTGCGCGCGTAGAAAAGGTCAGGGTTCAACTTTAAAGAAGAGTTTCTCCCTCGTCGTCTTCTGCTCGTCTTTCTTACTTCCCCTCCTCTCCCCTCTTCCTCTCTTCCTCTCTTCCTCTCTTCCCCACGCTGTTACTTCTCCCCGCCCCCCCTCTCCATCTCATCTCCACCTTCTCTTCCGTCCTACTCCTTCCCCCTGTCGACTCCCCCCCCCCCACTCTTTCTCTCTCTCTCTCTCTCTCTCTTCTCTCTCTCTCTCTCTCTCTCTCTCTCTCTCTCTCTCTCTCTCTCTCTCTCTTCTCTCTCTCTATTTCTCTCGACTCTTCCCCGACATCACCGACCAAACCAGCCCTCCTTACTCGTCCTCCCCGCCCCCCTCCTCTACCCCCCCTCCCCCTCTGATCCTATCCCTTTCTCCCCCCCCCCCCCCCTGATACTTCACCAGCTACTCCGCCCCACCTGCCACTCCACCCACCCACTTCTCACCTCCTACTGCACCGCCCACCCTCTCACTCTCTGCTCTAACGCCCACCCGCGGCCCACCACCCACCACCACTTCCCTACTGACGCTCTGCCTCCCCCCTCCCTGTCCCTCCGTGTCGGATACCTGGAGAAGGTAAAAAAAAAAAAAAAGGGACCTGTTTTGTTGATGGATTTAGAAGGTGGGGGTGGGGGGGAGG